TATTTATTTATTTATTTATTTATTATTTATTCATTTATTTACCTATTCATTGATTGATTGATTGATTGATTATTTTATTCAATGGGGATGTATTCGTTTACAGAGACACTAATGATGGTTACGTGATCTCTTTTGTTTCGCAGTCTGGTTGAAAACCCAAGTAAAAACGCGAAATAAGCATCATTCAAACATTATCCTTTGCTAGGCTCAAAACTTTAGCCTGTTCAAGGCTCTCGGTCAGTGGGGACGATCGAAAAAGCGGGCGGACGACGAGCAGGGCCTGGGACTGTTCCCGCTCGTCGCCCGCCGGCTTTTTCGATCGTCACCACTGACCAAGAGCCTGGAACAGGCTATCGGAACGTTAGCTGGTAATGAATCTTTAGAGATGGTTCCTGTATCAATATTGCTTTCAGTATGATGAGTTGCAGCAGAAGTCTTTACTAGCTGTGGCAGAGTTGACAACTGTTCGAGAAGAGAAAAGAACTTGGTCCATAAATGTCGAAAATCTCAGATTAGATCTGAGCCAGTGGCAGTCCAAGGTAATATAGAAATTTATTACATGGCTTGTGTTCGGAACCGATATAACGCTTGCTCTGATTGGCTCATCCTAAGACATTACTCTCCCGTAATGCCGACGGACTTATCACGAGCCTGCAAAAACAAAGCAAAAAGCCAACTTATTGACGTCGATCGTTCGGTCTTACGGGAAAATCTCAAACCTCGGCCTTGCCGTATTGACCGAGCGATAGCGAGGTCAATAGGGCAAGGTCTGGGTTTGAGATTTCCCATAAAGACCAAACGATCGAGGTCAATAAGTAGTTAATAATTTAGTTTCCGCTTTTGAAGATCTTTGACCAGAATGTTGTTTTTATACTATTGGCAATGCCTTTGTGTCATAAGCAATGCTTTTATATGCTCTGAAGAGGGACTAGTTTCCGCAGAAAGGGTTTTACTGCATTTTCGGGTGACTCAAATCACTTTCCTCATTGTCAACTTGAAATGACTAAATTAAGAAAAAAATTAATAAATAAATAAATAAATAAATAACAGCAAACACAACACTAATGCGGTGTAATACGGTCAAAACTGTCCTTGCAACTTGCAGTGCAACATTGTTGCATTGTGAGTGGTAAAACGTTTTTACGCGTTTTGTACCCTTGTTGCAAGTTGCAGCAACATGCTGCTGAAAGTTAAACCCTTGTCTTTTTTGCGCAGTATGATTTTGCAACTCACATCAGAGGTAGTACTCTTCAACTTGTAATGCAGCAATGCATGATACACATCTACTTAATTAAAAGAAAATGTTTCCCGTATCACCCAGCTTCGACCTTTGGACTAGATATTTGAACATAAACTGGCGGGTCCTGCACTTTTACGTTTTCAGTGTGACGAGCTGCAGCAGATGTACTCAAAAGATTGGGAAGAGTTGTCAAATGCCCGAGAAGAAAACAGACATTTGAGCATTGCTATCGAAAATCTCAAGTCACAGATAGGCCAGTGGGAGTCTAAGGTAAACTGGAAATAAATCATTTACACTTTGTTTGCTGTAGTGAGAAAATAAATCCCTACGTACATGTCTCTCGTTGCTTGCACTCTTTTTCCTTTTTTAAGAATACATTTTTTAAAAATATCGAGGCTAAAATTTGCGAAATTTTAAGAATATTTTGAGAATAAACCAGAGACTGAGATTTTGAAAAGAATATAATTTTTTGTGTTGAAAATTTGTAAATACAATACAATTATGTGTTTTTAACTAAACCGTGTAAAAATTATTCCTTCTCCAAACGGGAAAACCAGCCAAAATACAGGAAAAAACAGCCCTAGCTGTATCTTCGATCTAATAACATTTCTGCAAGAAGTTCTGTGTGTCATATTACTACAACCTGGCTCAAAAATGGCTTCAACGCTATGAAAGTCATGATAGAACAGATAATTTGACGTTTTGTTGACATGGTCCAATTTTTATTACTATTCAGCCTGGGCCGAAAAAACAGTATTCTTACAGAAAAAGAGTGTATTTAGAGATAAAAATGTAAAAATTCATTATTGATTATCTCAGAATGCAAGCTTGTTACTGAAAATTGAAGACTTAGAAAAACTGCGAGTAGCCGACAACAGGAGGTCTGCTGAAATCATCGCTCAGAGAGATGCTGTCATCAAAGAACGCAACCAGTGGATTCTAACCAACCATGAATACGATGAAGAACTGATGCCCGAAGTGAAGAAAGCGCTGGACTCGGATATTAAAGATTACAGAAGGATGATAGAAGACGAAGAAGGAAGGTGTGGTAACCTAAACATGCCCGTGAAGCCTTATAATCTCAAACATAGGTTTTGTCACTTTTCAGTGTAATATAAAAGTACGGTAAATGGTTTTTTTCTGTCGGTGTTTATTGCACGTTTTATTAGAGAGGAAACTGTTACATGCTTTATTTTCTACTTTCCTCAAATGGCGTCAGCTAACTCTTGTTACGTTAGAATTTGAGAACATCGAGCAAAATTAAACTTTTCTTACTTTGCTGAGTAAAAACCTTCCCATGAGAAGATTTTCCGACTTTCCACGGGGCACATTCAAAGACCAAGTAAAGTACAAAGTTTCAGTCATCATGATAACTGTCACCACCTTATATTTGTCTTTTCGCAATTAAGCAGATGAATAATATGAACACATTTCCTTTTTACGGGATAACTTTCGTCGAATAAATTATTTGTGGACCTTTATCGATAATAAGACATAACGAAAATAAAACTCACGCAAAAGTAAAAGACTACCTTTGAATCGTAATTGGCTAAAAATAGGTAAACTGGTACATCGCGTAGAATGGCCGGACGTCATTACTTATTCATGAGCACCGAAGCGGCAAGATTTGAATGCGAATGTAGTTTGAATG